ATTATATGTCTAGTATTTGTAAAGAAATAGAAACAGCTAAAATACATTAATGCAGAAGTGGTTTGTTTTTTATTACAGGCAGTCGTCATTTCGTAAAAAAAACTTTACAACTTTTGAATAGAACCAGATATTGCGACATTATGTATTCTGAATTAATAATTTTGATTTATCGTTTTACCTTCCTAACAAGGTTGAAATTGTGGGTATGGTCACTTGGCAATTTTTTGAAACCAAACGTCAAGAGCTGCTAATTTTTGAAATTAATAACTTTATTATTTCTTGATTTTTCTGTAGTCTTGTAATGCTTTTAAATATGTAATAAAACAAAGAAAAATTAGCTTCGGCTATAGTAATCTGATCTGAAAAATTTCTCCGAAAATTGCATTATTGCCTTAGACAACAACCTTTAACGAATTTCGTGAAGATATCTCGTCAAATGAAAACGTTTTCCATCCAAGCAATTGATTCCGATCGCATAGTTTGAATGACAGATATATATTATAGTTGTCCGATATTCCCCTGTTCAGGGAATAAATATGGATGGCAAAATATAAATATCCTTTTTACCACACTCTAAAATKACCCGAAATACATGCCTGTAGACTAGAATACCTTCACAAGAAATCTCTTATGTTGACAGGTATTTACGCAATGCAGTAGATAGAAAGTTCTAAAATCTTTACATTGGGTATAGGGGGCTAATTTAAGTAGTGAGCCGATTTCACTCAGTTCGACATACTAACTGTTATATAAACTAAGATCCACCCGTATATAACTCTATGTCTATCTCCTTATATTACTGTTATTAACCTGATAATCTTACAGTACATACAGTGTGAAATAAGCGAAATCGGACTATAACCACAATTTTAAATATGCTATTGATATTTGAAAAGTAATATTTGATCTTTGAAGCTTCAATCGAAATAAGATTTTCTCCTTAATATTTTAATACAAAAAAGGTAAGCAAGAGCTGATTTCGGGTGCAACCGCACATTTTATACTCTTGTATATTTCAAGGATCAAAGCCAGGGAGATACTTTAAGGTGTAACACCAATCATATACACAATAAAGTCAGCCGGATGTTCAAAAATCTTTTAATGACTTTTTTATTTATCAACATGTTTTCATGATTCTAGTAGGGACGACAACCACTCACGTACTTTTTAAGAATAAACAGGGTTTTTGTCTTTCGGATAATCCAAACATGAGAAATCGTGTCAGCCAGTGAAAAACCGCATCTCATTAACCCAGCCATTTCTCCGACAGATGCTATCAAAAAATTCCAAAAAAAATTTGTTTGTACACTCTACAATATACCTCATAATATGTGAAAAAAGTTCTATTGTAGAATAAAAATGTCTATGCACAAAAAAAAAAAAAAAAATTTAAAAAAACTGGCCAGATTATCCTACTTGCCCGATTTCATCCATTTTCACAATGTGATATAATAACGATAAAAAAATGCCACGTACTCAAATCTGTTGAAATCGGTTGTTCAGTTCACGAGATATGGGATTTCACCAAAAAGTGGGCGGTGCGACGCCCGTCGTCCTCTTTTACACTGGTTTCATAGAGGTCTCTCATACTATCTAGGTGGTAAAATTTAATGTCTCTGGTTTATTTAGTTATTTATGAATCGTTTTTAGTAGTTTTTAACAGTACCGTTATATAGGGAGTGAGCGGGGTAATTCTACGATTTCATTCATTTTCATATTGTCGGTAGAAGTTTTTTAGTTGTAGTTTAACCCATTTACAACCAAGGAGTCAAAAAATAAGTTTATTTAAAATTTTCAGTTTTTTATTGATTTATACCATCGCAGAGATGAACAAAAAAAAATTTTTTTTCCTTACATATACGAAAATTTTGCTGTACCCACACGAGTACAATGGTCAAAAGTGTATAAAATATTTATGAGTGGGCTATTTTAAAACAGTCGCGTTCCACGCACAAAGCAGTACCACATAGCTCGCAAATCCACCTGATTCGTTTATGGCAGACACTGCATCTAAGAGGCTGGAGGATTCTCTTTGGAAAATGTGCCCCTGCAACTGGAGAAACACTTGGAGCTAATGTCACGTTGAAACTCAAGCAAATCTTTGGTACTATTATTCACGTCTTTGTACAGCTTCCAAGCGTTTACCATTGTGGAGCACATCATCGAACTAAACAGCGGCCTCCACCATTTTTTGCCTCGAATCCCAATTTTGTATACATTTACGGCCTGATCATGTAGATCAACACCGCCCATACCGTGGTTGTAATTTGAAAGTAAATTTGGCTGAGGATAAGTATATTTTTTGTTCCAGTTTTGACCAACGCTTTACGTATTTCAACGGTTCAACCGTATCAAAATTAGTTCTCATAGTTACGACATTATTGCATTATTGTCATTCCACTTGACAAACAATATTTTATTATTGTGGTCGTATTTGATCTCGAAATATCCTCTTGCGTGTTTTTGGAAATATTTTTTTGGATTCAAAGGACATTTTTTAGTTCTACTTTCTCTCGTTGTTCCTACGGCCTTGAAGTTTTTCTCACGCAACATACGTAGAAGTTCATGACTTGTGAAAAAATAGTCAAAATAGATAATATGATCGCTTGGGTTATTTATGGTTTTTATTAGATCGAACACAACTCGAGATCCAAGGGGAAGATGTCTTGTATCACTATCAGTATTTTTAGCACCACAGTAAGTATCAAATTGGTACAAGTACCCACAGCCCCTTGTGAGCATCCAATTTTTAAATCCGAATCTTACGGGCTTTCCTTTGATGAATTGTTTCGCTGATTGATGGCCAAAATATTTTACCATTGCCTCGTCAATTGAAAGCTTTTCGTGCATAAAACCCCACCTTTGAAACTTTTCACATAATAAATTCGACAGTGAGCGAGGTTTTGCCATTTTATCAGACTTGTCAATTTCATTATTTTTTGTAAAATGAATGTGGCGTTTTATTTCCAAAAATCTGTTTTCAGAAATGCTATTGCTTATAAGAGGTGATAACGTGTCTTCATCCAATTGCCAGTACATGGATTTTCTTGGCACTGAATGGTAACCAGAGTAAAATAAAATGCCTAAAAGGACTTTTAGATCATCTTCGTCGAATATAAATTTATGCGAATTTATTTGAGAAGCATACAAATGAGTTTGTTCTATGATCAGTTGTACAACATCTTTATCAAACAGTGTCTCAAATACCTCAACGGGACTTCTACCATCCAAATCAATTTTCATTTTTATTTTATTCTCTATATATATAGTAGTCGAATCCATTGTCAAGTTGCATGCTTCGTTGTTCCAAATAGGGCTTACAGAACGTATTTTAGCACCCATTCTTTGTAGCTGGGCAATCGGTATTTTATCTTCGCTGTCAAARTTTATGCTGTTATTGAATACTTCAACGCATCCAGCAACGTCGCCAGTCAAGTTTATTTCATTTATGTTATCTTCATCACCTTCCTCTTCGTCAGTATTGACATCGACATCAGGAGGAACGATATCGACGTCATCTGCCTCATCATTATCCGCGATGTCAGCTAAAGCCTGTGAAAGTTGTTTATATCTCTCTCCATAAAAACACGAATTGGAAATAGCCATCCTAACCAAAAGATACAATTTTTTATTTCACCTGCACATTTTGCCATTGTACCTAAGCGGGTACACAACTTTTAAAACGCACATACCTCAAATAAGAATAGGTTTTTCAAATGGGCTTTTTTTGTAAAATTGATGATTTAGTATTATCTCACAAAACACACAATTTTAAAACTAACAACTGAGAGATAAAAGCTCATCAACAGCAAAATGATGACTAAAGACACAAAATCACACAATACAATAGAAGTTGATGCCACAAAATATGCCGTTATGAATTCGCGTGAAGCGAATGTTTTTTTTTGTTGTTTCTAGGAATAAAGCTACGYATATGATAAAAAATTTGTGTACAAATACTTAGCATTGAGTTACGCCACATGCCTAAACTTGACTGATTTTCTGTACACAGATATRGATAATGCATTTCGGACATCTAAAGGTAAATTTACATGAAAGGAATAAGATTGTTATAAAATATATGTTAAAAGTAAAACCCCATAAAATTGATGATTTTAATTTTTCACAAAAATTAATTTTTCAAAATAAATTTACAGATGTTTTTATTATATTCAACTTTAAACCTTTCTAACCGACTAAATTTTCAACCATGCCCCTCGCTTTCCTCTTCGCGTCCTCAGTAAGGTATATTTGCGAATGTGTGCATTTTTTATATGGAAATTCTATTAGTAGCCCACGCACACTGGCAAGTGTCTTAGGTCAGCTGTGGGCCTTGCGCCTATTAGCACACTACAAATAAATCAGCAAGAGCACTCGTGATATTGTGTGTTTGAGCACGCGAGCAAATCAGCATAAACGACTAAGCAAAAAACGAGAAAAATGACAGTCAGACAGATATTAAAGAGAGTGCATTGTTGAGGTAAGAGAAAAAGTAGCACACTGCGTAAGAGCGCTGTGCAAATAATGAGGGGCCGATGTGGGTGGTACGTGGCATAAGGTGTTTAGTAATGCTGTAAGTATGCAGCGGCGGATCCTCGGCTTGCAACAGTTGCCAATGAGAAAAGAGTAACAAAGACAGAGGCACCGGAGGCAGCAACAGCGAAGCTAACAGCTGATAGCCGAGAATAGCAAAGCAAGCGTTGACAAAAACATAGCCAGTAACAATAATAACAGCACGAAACGTTGTTGTGAACTATGATGGCAGCAATGCATGCTAATATCAACGACATGCACTGAACAACAACGTTGCCGTCGCCGTCTCAGTCGCTGCCGCAGTCTCAGCCCGTAGCATTGTGCTTGCTAAACGAGCAATGAAGATGATACAAAGCTGTGAAAACGATTTTAGAAGTCAGTCATAGCCGGCATTTCGAACAGTTTGGACGCACTTAGCGGATAATAGCGAAACAAATAGAAACAAGAGAGATAGAAGAAGGCCAGAAATAGAGGTGAAGCAGACATATAGTAGGATGTACTAAGTGAGGACCTCTGTGTGTTATTAGTGATTTGATTTGGCTTAAAGCACACACATAGTGTGTATCAGTGGTGAACAACAACAACCGTTCCCATACCACCTCAATTGTCACTAATACTACCGTAACGTTGTGGACGCGTGTGTTTGTGGTCTTTTTGGGCTTTCGGATTTGTGACTATTTGAGAATAAATCGCATTAATATTGGTGGAGCTGGCAATGTTGATGCTGGTGGTCGGTTAATGCTTAGGTTGTGTGGGTGTGCGTTAGTCCTGTCGTGTGTGTAAAAGGATTTGCATTTACATAAAACTGACATACTCACACCGCTGCGTATGGCTTTTATGTACCGTAATGTGAAGATGCGGGCGAAAAATTTCATTTAAGTGAGTTTTAGTGCGTCACACTACGCGCGCCTCTCAGCAGTATTGACAACACGCATATGCTGCGTAGCGCCTAGTGCTATGCCGCATTGTTTTAGAGCCGTCTAGTGGAAGTAGTGTTGAATTGAAGTTAACGGTGTGCGCGAGCGGTACGTGTCGGTGCGGACGGTTTAAATGCAGCGGAGCAGTGCGCGGTCGGGACGTATCGTAAATCAAGTTGCTTTCAGTGCCGTATTTTGGTATTCTCGTCAACAGCCCCATTTTCGAGAGTGTTTTCGCTCACAAATGGGCTTATAAAAAATTCATATACGAACGCAACTAAAGCGAAAAATGTAGCTGAATTGTAACGGATAGCACAGTGAGCAACGGTGAAGTGTTTGTTGCCAAGGTTAGATGCAAGTGAGCTTTTGTGCGAACAACGGTAATAAAATAAATGAATAAATGTATACCGAGTAAAATAAAAATACCCAAAATTGAATAAAAGGCTGAAAATTTTCCGTCTCAGTTTGCACAAGGGCTCAGTGAGCAAAGGGTTCCTAGCAGCTACTATAAAGCGGATAGCTAGTAAAGTATTTAAGAATACAATGGAATTTGAACGTAGAGTTGTGTAAACAAAATAATGAGAAGGCCAAATTAAAATAACGGAAGGTTGAACTATCAAAAATTGAGAATTCCAAACTAGGTAAACATGGTTGGAAAAAAAATTGTGTTTAAAAGTGAAAATGGAATTACGGCTTGCGACAAAGAATTCTATTTGAGCTGGGGATGTGAAGCACGTAAAAAGCTGGGTGTATAATAATAAAAGTCGCACGACTAACTCCCTTGCCACCCAACTCCTTCTCGGTACTAGCCACTTGCGCAACATTTATGCTGGACAAAAACTAATGGTAAGGCTGCTTGCTGTGGAGGGAAAATGTACATTGTTTGATAGCGAAAAGAGATTTTTTAATAGACTGCCATGAAAATTTATTGAGTGCAAAGCTGCGTTGCCTTTGCACCAGCGATAGGAGCAAATTGAATTGCTGGTGAAAAATGTGCTGGGCGATTATCAAATTGTGATAGAATAGCAACAAAAGAAACACAAATAAAAATGAAGGCAAAAAAGGATGTTTATGAAAATTCGCTACAATTCTCGTTTGGATGGCAATTGAAGGAAATTGAAACTGAAATAAAAAATATCTTCACTAAAATAATTTCCATTCTTTATGCTGAGCTTGCAACAATGCGAGCAGTAACAATCCCTTTAAACAAACCTTTTCTAGGTATTTAAGCCCGAACATCAAAATATATTTGTGTAAATGCAAGTTATGAATTTATTACTCAGCATGCAGTGCAAAAGTAGTTACCTACACAACATGTGTGTATATATGCATGTATTATTTTTTGATGCTGGCCCCTAAATGCTGGCTCCGTTGTCAGCGACTTTTGGCAAAAGTTCGGAAGTGTAAAAAATACTAGAGTGAAGATAGTGTGCAGCACGTCCCAAGCCATGCACGCTACCACACAAGTACACATAAACGTCGTTATATTTATTTTACAATATTCACGCAGATATCGGCGCAAGCTCCGCCAATGCTGGCATATGCATTTCCAATTTGTGTCGTATCCGCTCGGCGTTTTGTTTATCTGTGGCATCGCGTATGCGACAACTCAATAGACAACGGGATCCACCGAGCAACAATCTGGCAGGTTATTTCTGCTTGCCGTGTATTATTGAAYGATTGAGTGTGTGTTTACTGGTTTGCTCTAGCTAGTCTACGTCCATTCCAGCGAGCGGGTTTTATTTCAAAGCAGCTAAATTGCTTTGGCAATTTGCCAAAAATAATAGAATCACAGTTAGTGCCAAGTTTTGTTGCATTTGCGTGTTCTTCACGTTTGTTGATGTTTTATTTTTTAACAATGGCTACTTTCGGTGGTCTTGGCAATGTAGTAGAGATAACAAGCTAATTCCAGCAAATGATTTCTGATTTCTGAAATTATTAAATAATTTTGTGGCATAAATAAAGTAAATGAAAATAGTTTTTTTAACACACTACCTAACTGTTGCATGGCTGAGCTTTGCTTAACAAATACACAAATGTGAGATCATCATAATTCTTAATAATACATGATTTGAGAGAAAAACAAGAAAAAACGTTAACTTCGGCTGCACTGAAGCTAAAATACCCTTCACAGGTGCATTTCTTTTAGTAACTATGTGTTCAGTTTATGTGGAAGCTATATGCTATAGCAATCCGATCTGTACAATTTTTTCGGAGTAATCCATGTTAAATTTCATGAAAATAACACGTCAAATGCGAAAGTTTTCCATACAAGCCCTTGATTCCGATCGTTCGTTTTGTATGGCAGCTATATGCTATAGTAAGCCGATCTGAACAATTTTTTCGGAGATTACATTGCTGCCTTAAAAAATAACCTGTGCCAACTTTTGTGAAGATACAATGTCAAATGCAAAAGTTTTCCATACAAGAACTTGATTCCGATCGTTCAGATAGTTCAGAGAAAATGATGTTTGCAAAATTTCAAAACGATATCTTAAAAACTGAGGGAATGGTTCATATATATACAGACAGACAGACGGACAGACAGATAGACGGACATGGATAAATAGACTCAGCTCAACATACATATCATTTATGTATATATACTTTATAGGGTCTCCGACGCTTCCTTCTGGGTGTTACAAACTTCGTGACAAACTTAATATACCCTGTTTAGGGTATAATTAATAAAGGTTAGACGAACACCTGAATTCCCGCAATGCGTTCTTAAAAACTAACATATTTTGCAAAAATTGATTTTTTATTACCTTCTCTATATGATTTTTATACTTTCGGAACATGAATCTCCAAAAAATATCAGTTTCTATGGCCTACTGTTTTTTGTAACACATAAATCTAGTCCAGAGGGATATGTATACTGTTCGCTATTAACTGAAATCTTAAAAAATGCTATAAGGAAGCTAAAAATCAAAAAAAGAGATCGCATTAGTAAACATTACCAGAGGGCTGAATATTTTTAAAAAGTGGGCACGGCCCCATACTCTTATATGTTTAAAACACGTATCTTACGCATCTCACAAAGTTCTAAAGTTCTGTTAACACAATTGCTGAGGGAGAATCCTTTCGTTACCTCCTTAGACGCTATGAAAATGGGTAAATTCGGATAAAAACCATATAACGGTTATGATTCTTGCATTTCACTGTAAATAAATTAATAACGCATGAAGTTATCACAACAAATCTTTGCACAAAGAGTGCCTTCAGGTTCGTCTTGTCGGAGCAAGCGCCTTAAATTCCGAAGATATGGACCTGAGTGCCTATGGCTGACTTTTTACAGAAAATATTCAGATATTTTCTTATTTTTATACCCTGAACAGGGTGCCATATAAACTGAACGATCGGAATCAAATTGTTGTATGGAAAACTTTCACATTTGACGATGTATCTTCACGAAATTTGGTATAGATTATTTTCTAAGACAACAATGTGATCTCTGATGTATGAGTTATTGTTTATAGAAATAACATAATATCAGAAAAAATTGTTCAGTTCGACTCACTATAGCGTATATCTGCCATACAAACCGAACGATCGGAATCAAGGCCTTGTATGGAAAACTTTAGCATTTGAAGTGGTATCTTTACGAAATTTAATAATATAATCTCCGAAAAAATTTTTCAGATCGGGTTACTATAGCGTACAGCTTCCATAGAAACTGGACACACATTTACTTAAAGAAATGCACATGTGAAGGGTATATTAGCTTCGGTGCAGCCGAAGTTAACGTTTTTTCTTGTTTTGCAAAGAGAGTTTCCTGATAATAATGTACCCTTGTGTTGAAATAAACAAAATCGGGTTAGGGCCTATATCTTCTCTTCTCTTTTTGTGAAAGAATGTGAATTGAATTGAAGTTGATAAATATTAACTTGAATTGCCGTTCAACTCGAGTTGCAAACTTACTGTTAAGTTTATTGGAAACTTTTAATTTTTCTTAATTTAGCTATTACCAACAAAATGGGTTTYAGTGAAAGGTATTTATATTTGTTATTATAAAATAAAGTCGGGTTAGTTTCCCATTTTTAATTTAAGAACTCCTTTACCAGTTATGGAAATCTATGATTTTTGAATTCGTCACTCAAGTCGAGAAGGAGATCAGAGTTTAGTAAAACGTGACTTCAAAATATTGCGAAAGATTTCAATATTAATTATTYGGACAAATCGTGAATGAATAACAGTCAAATTGGAACCTTATGAACTTATATAATAGGTCATAGACTAAAYACTAAGATATTAAATTCAACGCGAAGTTCAAAAATTTGTATATCGGACCTACGGGAGAGAAATATTGACTCTTTTCAAAGTATTTGTAGCRCACAAACATTATACTGTCACGTTGACCATAATTTTCGGTAGAAAGTCAACTATAGGCTTTTGAATGGAAAAGGAAGAAGTCGTACGGTGCCATATGAAGTGAATACGGGGAGTGGTTAATGGTTAAAATGTGATTTTTGGTAATATAATCGGTCAATCGATGTGTTGGAGATGTTCAATTCCATTTCCATGAATTTCAATTATGATTTTGACTGATTTTTGATGAATTTACGCACAATTTCGATGGAAATTCCGGTGATCACGGATTTTTATTGGCCCACGAGTTGATCGCCATTTTTGTCCTCATGACCACTTCGAAAACGTTGAAACCACTCATGTATTGGTTTCATGTCAAGTGATTTAAGAGATATCTACATTAAACTTATTAGAGGGCCGTGACACGCCCACTTTTTCAATTTTTTTTTTCCCCCAAAGTTGCCCCTTGCTACTGCAATCTCATATGCCAAATTATAGTTCTATATCTTARGTGCTTAGTTATGATACTTTTGCCTACTTTGTGTTCTACTAGTGCTCGCACAGAGTTATCGTTTTCAATAGAACTTTTGATTAAAAGTAGTGAGTTAACGGTGTTTTGGTTGATTTTAGCATAACTTTTACACGGGGTATGGGCGTGTTTTTATCGATTTTCACGCTGTGAGGAGATGGTATAAATATTTTTTTTCTGCTTGGTTCACTTAAATATATTAAGCTGTTCGTTAGATATGAATTTTCAACCTCTTAGACATCGGCCACGTCTTTCATTTTTCATTCAATGGCATTTTATGGCCGTGGCAAAGTTCCGACTCTATCTGCAACACCAAACATGTTTACCAAGTTTCCACATGATATTTCTCCACTAGTTATCGCTTGTACTGATACACGAACAGACAATTACTCGGAAATCAACTCGCTTCGTCAACATGAATATATACATATATTGGACGGGTCCTCTAGCCACGTTTTACTGTGGCTGATACATAGGTACTACAACTAATATATATTATTTMTATTATTTAGATTATAACTATGTAGTAGTTAAGGAGATATCGCATTTTTGGTGAAGCAACTAGTCTTAGTTTACAAAAAAATTAATCAAAATGCATTTCGTGCATTAAGAAAACATTGGTTTTTGAGGGAAAATTTAATTTGGGGAGTGTACCAGTGAAATCAATCGAGKCGAGTCGAYAGTCAGCCTAGTGGACTGCATATTATGAAACAGTTCTCTTGCGTGGCAAGACAAAAAATCGGCTGGCAAGGTTATGGCATCAGTCTGTTGGGATGCCCGTGGTATACTATTCATCGAATGATTACTGAGCCAGTTTTAATTCATTACACTGTGCATTTGGATGCAGTTCTATTTCACTATTCCAAATATTTAGCAATTTTATTATTTTTTAGGAAAGATCAGTTCGAAATATATATACTTCATCGTTACCGTTTAAATATTGCACTCTACTGTGCAATGCTTCGAAAAGATTGCTGTATGTCTCAAATTATAATAGACCTTTTTATAC